ATTAGTTTAAGCAATTTAACTTTTACTCAAAACACGATACCAACCAACCGAAAGATCATTAAATTTATAATAACCTAACCGTTTTCTGTCTATTCATAAGGGTCTGTACACGTTATAAAAGCAAATTAAATATAAATTACAAGAGAAAATAAAACCTAAATAATAATAACTTCCTCGTAAAGAAGGTGGCCGTGTCCTTAATAATAATGTTAATGTGCACTAAAAACATATTCTGAGAAATGGTGTCTTATTTAGATTTTACTAAAGTTATGAAAACCCGGAAAACGCACGTGACCGTCCCGTCGACCAGGCGTGAAGCCACCAACAAATACACTTGTTTTCTTCACTCCACCAATGATGGGCCCAAAGAATAAATGTGGAAAAAATACATTTTAGAAATATTTCTGAGTTGTTCTGCCGGGTGAAGTTAGTGACAGAAAATAAATTCCATTTGAAGCCACGGAACCATCGTCAAGGTCTCACCCTTCTCCGTGGGTTTTTTGTTTGTCCAGAAACCCCGTAATGTCTAGGCAGCATCCACATTACGGGAAAAACTGGAATCGCCTCATTTCCACAACACAAAAGCTCTCTGTCTAAAACTATTATTACGCATTGGAATGATGCATACGAGCAATGCACTACTGAAAATCCGTACCTGAAATAAAAGTAAAATCGTAAGTAATCAATCAGCGATGCGCTAATTATGGACACATACTTCCCTTTTGGACGACTTGAAACCTGAAAATAAAAAGATTTCACATTAATAATAACTCTTGCAATGATCAAACATTGGATTTACGCTTATCTTTTAGTTATGAAGGCATCGCCTATCTCGAACTTTTAATATTTAAAGCGAGGAACACGCAATAAGAAAATCTTGTAGTGGAAGTTAAACCTGAAGATGAATTTTCCACAATAAAATAATTCTAACAAACGGGATTCATTGTTACTTCATATCTATTTCTGAAGTATTGTTTCAATTCAATTGTTTTTCTAATTACGCATATTTTAAAATAAAAAATACTTAAATGTAACATATACATAAATAAATTAAAATAAATATAATTGAAAATCTTAACGTAGAAACTATCGCCGCTGTCTGAAGCCAAAGAAACTTCGCGCCGCCTTAGATTGTCGTGGCGGTGTTAAATTCCTCAATTCTAACTCTGTCCGCCCTATGAGCACTAAGCGGGCCACTTTTAGCAAGCCCATTATGGGTTCGGCCAGGTGTGATGAACTGGGTTTCTACTGTACTATTTTAGATGCGGTCTTTTGCGGGAAATCGAACATATTTTTAGACGCATCTAAAAATTCTCTAATTAGTCTTGAAAGAGGATGAACCTATTTCTTGCACCCGACAAAAACGGCTATATCTAATAATTTTTCTCTTCGCTATCGTTTTTTTTACTTGAGAAACGCCGGACTCATCTACTAGTTATTTAAATAATTTAAACAATAATAATATTTTTCGAAATTTAAAATTTGATATATTATTAATAAGGAATATTTAACAAAAATTAAGTGTTGCCAGATTGGTGAGAACGGATCTGGCAACACTCTTTTGATATTTTGCTGGAAGGCAAAAACGCATTTTGATACACACCATCGAGAAACTTTTTATATAAAGAAGAGGAAATAGACAATGGATCGTTACTTCCGTGGGAGTTAAAAGGAATCGGTTAGAATGAAAGAGTGCGTAAGCCATCAGTAAATCGGTGGGAAGATCGTTATGTTTGTGAACGATGGTCACATATCGGTGATGAAGGTTAAAGTGATCAACTGTTTGGGGGAAGAATGGATCGTCAGCGTTTACCCGGAAATCACGGTCGATCAGCTGAAGCAGATGGCCTTGGTCCACTTCTTTCACCCTCTTTCGTGTATCAAGACTGCTGATCAGTATAGATTGGTCTCCGTCACCAAGGGACAACGTCTCCTCGATGAATGCACCATCAGAGAAGAGAATCTTGAAGAAAAAGGTGTCTGTCTGTTTATTATATACTTACCTTTGCTTTATGTTTAGTATTTGGGAAGCGACCGGAAGGTATGCTTGTGCGGATTTTGCGGTATGAATACTCCTCCGAACGAAATGTTGTAACCTTACCGGAGCTTCTCTTCTTCTTCTTTTATTTACACATACAAAATTGTACATTCCCAGCACCACCAGGCACTGTAGACCATATTCAAGAGAGCCAAAAAGTCAAAGGAACCACCTCTACGTGCGATCCGTCGCCGGATATGACCCCCCCGAAATTGGCCTACTTCCGGGAGTCGCATTGTGCACTCCACTAAGATGTCATATTTAACTATGCTGCTTTGAGTAGCTGGCTTGATTGCTCGTGCAGTACTTCATTTTATATAGTTTTAGGGGGGTGAGGCTTGCCCCGTGTGGCTGCCGAGGTCTGAGCACCGAAGTACACGACTACGTGCGGAGCATTGGTTAAGGTCGGTGATGGTGAGCCTTGATTGAAGCAGAGCATGGAGAATGGGTAGTCCGCTGGTTTATAGTAAAAACTGACCTCTGGAGGCGAATACCTCGCCAAGGGTCGCATGTATAGGTATGGTTCCATTGCATGTTTTGTTCATATAGGGGGGTCTGTAACTCTGAGGGTGAAAAGTCAATTATTTGAAGTTCACGTCTTATTTCTTACTCTTCTTTATATTTATTGTTTGGTAGTGTCTTGAAGGTATATGCAGATTATCATATGTAGATTTTGCAATATTCCGAGAGGTGCTTGCTTAATTAATGATATGTATATTTAATGGTTTAATTTAACGACGAAAAGCCACCTCTCTGAAAGAGACTTGCCTTTTCATCAATAAAATTAAACAATTTGTAATTTACTTGCATATTTAATGACCATTCGATCATAAAAATGAGAAAATTAATCTTTTCTAGAGGCTTGTTTTTTTACACTTTGCATCCTGTGGGCATTAAGTGATCCTTCTTATCAATTAATATTACAATGTGTGTTGTTATCACGCATAATCATTCTTGAGGACTATCAAACTGACATAGCTTTCTACAAGGAGGACCAAAGAGCCTGAAATGCATTTTGGACTTGTATTGATGGTGATAGTGTATATTATTGTGTGTAATGGCACAAGCATTGTAATGTTAAGTTAGTTGAAGGGCAAGAAGCATTAATACATTCTTATCCAGCTAGTCATAGATTCTGCTTGGTGGCCAGGGATGAGGTCTTTTCTAGGGTTGTTGACCCATCTGAGTTCATTCCTAGGTCCTCCATGGTGGCAGGCTGACCTTACCACTAAGCTATCTGGCTATTCTTCTAAATATTATTGATTCAGTGCAAGGATTGCATATCATTCTTACATTAATGGAAAATTGAACATTGTGTAATAAAACCTGCTTTTGAGTATTGTTCAAAGAGAAACTAGGCTACTTTATCATACATTTCTATTGATGTTTACAGATTAGCATATATTTGGTCATATATATTTCTATTTTCATTTGTTTACTCACAGGAAACATGTAGCATTTAGTTAAATTATTCAGGAATAAACTTAATATTTTTTAGTGTATAAAGTGTTAATATGGTGTAATATGGTGTTAAAGGGAATGAATGAATTTGTATGCTGAAATATCGTAGTAAACTCTGATTTTGAAGTCATTTACATTGACTTAAAATCAGAAAATCATTTAATAACTCTGCTTTCATTTGATTTATTTATTACATTAACTACAAACTTAAACTCTTGCCGTAACTAATCAGACTATTATTATGCTATAATTAATTATTAGAAACTAAGTAATTTGGTACTAGAGAAAGACATTAGGCACCATCTCTGATCTAAATTAATAATAATAATAATTTATTAAATAATTTAGAACAAATTAACTACTAACTTCTGCTTTATTAGAGTATTAGGGGGACCATGAAGTAATGTCATTTTTTTACATTAAATTCAAACATGAATTTTTAACTTGTTTTTATTTTTAATTAATGATGTAATCATCCTTGTTATCAACAACCTTTTGCTATCTAGTGTGCAAATTTTCAATGACGGATCGATAAAAATCAATTGGTTTTTGAGCTAAATATCTGGAGATGACATTTTGGATATCATCCAAATTTTTTGTCACATAGAAAATGTTGTAGCGATCGGAATAAATGGAAATCCAATGGTGCAATGTCGGGTGAGTATGGTGGGTAAGGCAGTACCTCTCACTTCAATTCATTGATTTTTTTTTCCAGGGTTCATCTTGTGCAGTACAGTCTTGCATTATCATGTTGCAAAATAACACCTTTTCTGTTGACAATTGCTGGCCACTTTTCAATTAAAGATTGATTTACTCGATCAAATTGTTCACAGTAAAGGTCTGCAGTACTTTGTGGAAAATCATTCGGACAGAACCACTGACTTTTGCTGTTTTGGATTTTCATGGAAGACCCATTTTTCATCTCCAGTGATCAAGCAATCAAAAACGCTTCTGTATTGTGCCATTGAAGCAATAAGTTGCACGTGGTGGATCGGTTAGCTTTGTTTTCTTTAGACAGATTATGTGGAACCCAAACCTCTGCTCTGCATACTTTACCGATCTGCTGCAAATGTTCTTGGGTGGTCGACCAAGGTTGGTTAAGAGTGTTTGATTGTTCCTCGATTGTCTGATATGGATTTGCTTCCACTTCCGCCCTTAACATGTCATTGTCTAAAGTTGTTGGTCTTCCTGATTGATACGAGTTGGAAAGATCAAAATTCTCGTATCTGATCTTAGATAACCACCTTTGGCATTTACGAACATCTAATGCACTTGGATAAACATCACAAATGTTTTTGGTAGCAACTGTTGCATTACTACCCTTGTGAAACTCAAAAAGCATACAATGCTGGATATGTACTTATGGCCATTTCACTCAAAACAGCAAAAAAAAGAATTTAAGATTTAATTATTTACGAGTAAACAAACCCCTTTAATCTTAAAATGTCTTTTGGTATGGCTTTGCAGTACATAATGAGCTGATAAATGATAAACAAATATTGACATTACTTTCCGGTCCCCCTAATGTATGAGTAACTATTTCTATAAATACAGATGTAAGTTATTTTGAGAAACAGTTTTTTTTAGTAGAGGATCAGATCAACAGAATTTCCTTCTTTGAATAAAAATAGTTTGAATTAAGTATTTTAAAATGTGAGAACTTCCTTTTAAGAATAGATTCTTAAAACATGTATATGTCTAAAAGATGAACATTTACCAAAGTCTTGAAGTACTTGAGCATTTCAGAAATAGTTAAAAAGTGTAGCTATTCCAGAGGTTAGTTAATTGTAATGTAAGTTGGAGAAGTTCCATTTAGAGCAGGGGTATCCAGAGTGGTCAATATCAACCACTCTGGATACCCCTGCTCTAAATGATATTATTAAATAATTTAGAATATTTTGGAAGAAAAGAATCGGCCAGAGCAGGACTCAAACCCGCAACTCCAAGTTACTGTGTGAATATGCTGCCAGTTATGCTACCCGAGCCTCCATTCCGATCTCTTCCAGACATATTTAAACATATAACCATCCTTGATCCTCAGTTAGATATAGTGCCAATTGGGGATGCATTCAGAGCCCTCATCCTATAAACTCCTACCCACGGTACTCAGCTGGCCATTGCTCAACCGTGGCATGACGAGATAACAACAGTAATTTTGTAATTAAATAAATATAATTGTAGAAAAATAGCCTGATGTAATCAAGTGGTTGTGTGGCTTTACAAATTTATTGGGTTTCATGATGTTTGTTTATGTATCCATATTACCAAAATAAAGAGGAAGGGGTCAACAGTCAAGAACGTTTGGGGTCCCATGATTTAGAGTTCAAAATGCAAAATTTATACAAGTATGAATATGTTTTCTGTGATGGCAGTTTATTTATTTTCCAACTGTACAATATGATTTGTTGTTTTATAATACTTGATGTGGATGTTGTAATATATTACAAATATAATATATTGAGAAATATTTAATTACAAATACTATAGTTTTTCTATAGATCTTAGTTTCCAATTTTAATCTTTCAAGAATTTTTCAGTTTATATTGAGGAATTTAAATGGAGTTATCATTTATTCAAGTAAAATACTTTTAATATTATCATTGTCAATGTATTTATTTGCAAGCGATAGCAAAATTACTTAAATAATTATTACAAAATATCCAATAATTAAAAATTGATTAGATATAGTTTTACATAAGAGATACGACATATCACAAGTGTTTCTTTTAATATCAAATGCCAAATATTTAAAAACGATATCTCCTGTAATATGTTTTACAAGATAAAACAGTTCAAAAAGAAAAAAAATTTGCCTAATGATTGCTCAATTTCACTTATTTAATTTTCAGCTTTAAATACTTGATGATTTGTTTCAGAAATAAGGGTCTTCTAAAATGAATGCTACCATTTTAAGTTACTGTAATTGCATTAATTATTATCCGAGATGTATACCACATATGCCAATCGAAAGAGTAACTGCCCAAGTTTCATCTTTCATCTTCATTCAAATGTCTTGTCTACTATCTATAGGAAAATAATTTATACTCATTGATCCATCTTTTAGAGTATTTTATCCATGAATAGAAAAAAGTAACAATTAAATTTGTTTTTTCATTCTATCTAAAACGTCCAGGCAGTGTTTACATGCTTCTGTAATGCCCCAAAGGCTGCAAGTTTGTATTGTGGAGGATCACGTGAGGACTGAAGAATATATAGAGGATCATAGAAGGGTTTCTAGTATACTTTTGTCTTGATGTGGCCATCCTGTAAAGAGATAAATGGCATTCACAATGACTTTCCAGGTCTAAAGTTAAAGTCAGGCCATATAGGATAGAATTAACATACTGTAGAAATTGTTCAACATCAGGTTTGTTGTTCCATACAGTCAAAATGCCATCAATATACTCAGCATAGATATGGATGTTGGCAATTGACCATAGTATATCAGAAACTCTCCTACAATCCTCTATATATTCC